ACCTAAAGGATTCTATGATTCTACTGAGAGAGTATTTTTGAGGCAAACAACTCCTGTGAATTTGCCTTAACTTCTTTATTCAACTTGTTTTGTACTTCATGGCTAACTTATCTGTGGTGTGACTGGAGGAGGATTTGTAGAGGGTAAGATTCCACAGGCGTGTGTTCTGTGACAAGCGAGAGCCAGCGCTGCCAGTGATGAGCGAACTGATGGGAGAGAATATGCTCACTGATCTTGCTAACAGTGCTAAACTGGGACAGGACAGAATTGGACTTATTAAACTGACAAACTGAGGAAGTCTTTTAAAATAAATGTCATTCATTTTACTAAGGACAAGCTGAATGACCTGAATGTAAAAATGCGATCAGTAGCACAAATACAGGATGGCAAGGAGTGAGTGTTCAGGTCAACACAAAGGGTTCTGGTAGGCATTGTGAATGTCAGCGATCAGGTATTTCACATTCTTTGGGGTGGATATATGGCAGTTCTTGTATAAACATCAGCATTAAGTGAAAAAATGAAGCAATGTTAGCACTGATAAAACCTCAGATGGTGTATTCTGTCCGTGGAAGAGTTACAGTGAAAGAGTTACAGGTGTAGAAAACACCACCTGAGGGAAATCTTAAATGGGCTTTTTAAAGAGAGGGAAGATTCTTGAAGGTCAGCACAAACTTGCTGTCAAGATGGGAAAGGTCAGTTCTTCATCCAGTCATTGTTACTGTTTCATTTTAACTTCAGGTAATATTAAGGATGGTGAAACACTGGGGAAAAGACTTGATTAGAGAAATTAAAAAAGCATGACTGGTGGTTTTTACTGGTGACAGAGATAAATTTATTTTGGGGCTATTATGTAACTTTTCTTGCACTAGTGGATCGACTAAATGATTTCTGAAGGAGTTTGTTCTTATATTCTGTTGGAAATGTAATAAATGACTGCATGTCTGTCTTTTTCTCTGGTAGTGTTGCTTATTAAATTTTGTTTCCAAGGTGGGACACTGAGAATTTATGCAGACAGTTTAAAACCAAATATACCGTACAAGACAATCCTGCTGTCTACTACAGATACTGCAGACTTTGCAGTTATTGAAGCACTGGAAAAATATGGTTTGGAGAAAGAAAATCCCAAGGATTATTGTATTGCTCGTGTAAGTGAGATTACTAAATCAGTCTTCTCATGCTTCATATTTGATTTTATTCTTTGCAGTAGCTGTAAAACTAAATGGTAAGACTGGTAGTTTTGTGACGTTTTTTTTTTCCCCATTTGTTTGTTTTTAAATCTAACACCCTCAGGAACTTGAAGTGATTTGTCAGGGTTTTTTGTTTTTAAAACCTGAATCTTCCAATCTTAACTGTTACTTGCTAAATAGATACACAAATTAACGATTAATGATTAAGTGAAACTTTTGCTTATTTTCAGAATTTTATTATTTTAGGAATTCTAAATTAATTGTCTAGATTCCTTTTTCTTAGAGGTACGGCTTTATTACAAAGTCTGTGGGCAGCACTGATGAAAGGTTACAAACTTCTATCTGTATCATCTTCTAAAGGAGAATAATGAGACTTGGAAAATTTTAATCCTTGTTTGCTTTGATTACATTTCTGGCTATTACTTATCTAATAAACTTGAATTTATTGCTTCTTAAAATGATTAAAGAAAGGGAAAAAATCTGTCTCTCTCATCATATTGTGCTTTTTTCTCCTGCCCCTTCTCCAGTGCTTAAAGTGCCACTGGAAACAGTAAAGAAGCTTGGATTATTGACTATTCCTTTTACTATCTAGCTGCTCTAAAGGATACGGATACATCTGTGGTCTTAAAGTTGCTTTCTGATTTGTTTTTTATGATATCTTTTAGTAACCTTAGTGTCTACTTTTGCTGTCCTTACAGCCTCTAGTAGTAGAATGAGCTGGAAATTGACATGTTGCTCTAATGTTCTAAGAAGTAATAAGGAAACCTTAGAGTGGTGGTGCTTTTATAGTTTTGAAACAATGAACTAACCCTGGTTTTTAATGTTTCAACAGTTTTGCCTTAGCTCCAAATATACTTTTAATGAAGTTCTGGACATTTTATCCTTGTTGTCTTTAACCTTTAATTGGGGTCCCAGCTGTGAAAGTTAATTTTACTTAAGTAAAAATTTTATGTGGGTTTTATTATAGAGGGGAATGTTTTTTTACGTAATGGAATGGTTGGGTTTTTTTTTTTTATGACACAGCATAGTAAAAATTGATTTGTAGTTTTGGCTTTAAATTATTGTCTATGCATAGTTTTGATTATGACAGTTATCTTCATATTGTGGTTTCTATAAATGAAATTAATGATTCTCAATTATTGATCTGATTAAGTGGACCGCTGACTTGACACTCATTTTCAGATAATTTGAGAGAATTCTAGCTTACAGCAGAGACATTGTGACTGAATTTGGAAGGTAGTTTTGCATCAGTCTGTTTAGTTCAGAGTTAAAAGGTAATATGGTGTATTGTGAAGTATTTATGTTTTAGGGAATTAATAGAACTGATAGCACACTTAACAGGGAAACTTGCAAGTCACTGTTGTGGTGTTCTCTCTCACCTCCCCTTGTTTTCTGATCTTGTGTGAGGATGGTAAATGTAGGAAATAGTCTGAGGTATGTTCCTTTTATCTTGAAAAAGAGTAACAAAGTCATTGCTGTGAAGCAAATTGATTTAGTTTTCTGGAAAGCACTTCTGGAAAATATTTTCTAAGCAACACATCTTGATACAGTAAGTTTCTGTACTGACATAAGTTGTACGCTTCTGTTTACATTTGAAATATGTGAGTGGTCTTCATTGACTAATAACACATCCTTTTTTATACCTTGAAGTGTAGAAGAACTTACTGTTTTGCTCACTGTAAGTCATTGTAGTTGGCTGAATTCTACTTGGCTTTTCTCAATGCTTCTGCTGATGCAGGGCTTGGGTTTTAAATAGGATAATCTTTCGGGTTTTAGTAAAGCTGAGTATTTGGAACCTAATTTTAAAAATACTTTTGCTAAATATTTTATGATGGCTCTTTCTTTGCTTGCAACATTAAAATATCCTAGATTTAGCTTCATGTGTCTTTTTGTCACTGTTTCCTTCTTTGGAAACTCACAAATACAGTGCTAAGTAGGTGTCCTGGCCATCAATGCTCCTTTACTCTGAATTCTTTACCCCTGGTGGGACTGTTTGCTTCACTGTGTTCTGTGGAAGACAAATCTACCTTGCCCATTTTCCTATTATTTACTTTTGTTGGATTTGCAACAGTGTACAATGGGATGTATAACTTCAGTTTCCTATTGGTTGGGATTTTAAAATACTTTGTCCTCTTTGGGTGGCAGGTGAAGTGTCTTCAAAGAAGATTTAAGCAATTGACATTTACTTAACCATTAAAATGGGTTTAAAGTTATATACAAGGCCTTCCTTTATAAAGCTGCCTAAGCCCATCTAATAATGTTCACTCCTGAAGTTTCAGTTGAAAGGTGAACATTATAAGAATTTTTTTAACACCATTGACAACTTTTCTCATAAATTACAATCCTCAGTTAGCTGCTTGCTCTCATACCCTGGTTTGCTGTATTGGGCTGTACCTTTATGGCCTCTTCAGAAGTGCTTTTGTATGTAATCAAGTAAATACAAGTCTGTTCCAGTGTACATTTTATTTTTTTCAGCTTGCCTGATGTGAGTTTCCCTGGGTAATATGGGGTTCACTGCGTATCTCTCAAGATGTCAAATTAATTAGACAGTATTCTAAGCTACCTGTGCATATTCACTCAGGGCATAAGACTTGAGGCATGCAGCAAACCAGTTAACTCTTAAAAGTAGAGTCTTTTGTTTTGGCATGCTGCTATTTTGTTTACTCGAGAATAAGGCATAAGTAACTTTTTGTAATGTCAAGCAAAAACATGCAGGTCATGGTAATCAGGTTTTCTTGTAAGAAATAGACATTACAGACACCAGGCATGAAATATTTTTTAGCTGGTTCCATTGTTTTTTGGGGTGTGGTGCTTGGTTTGGTTGTGTTGGTTTTTTTTTCCCCAGGGGAACATGCAGTCTGCGTTCCCAGCTCCAAGGATTAATTCATTTGAATAAGCAGATATACCAGAACATACAGTAGATATGAGGGGTTTATTTAAAAGCATGAAAATTACAAAAAAGCATTCCAAAGACCTATTACAGCATTTTTTGTGTGAAACTTGCTAAGGATAGATCTGATAACTTGATCTGTAGCTATTACGTACCACAGGGGGCTTCAAGGTTTGAGTATTCTCTTCTCTTACTTCTTTGTCACAGTAATGGCTTGGAAGTTAAGGCCTAAGGTGCTATGGACTTCATTTAGCTTGTATTTCCTGCATGTTTCACTGCATTTTAAATTAAAAAATATAGCTTGGAGTAAGTTTATTATTATCTGTATATGCTCATGAATGCAGTTATGAGGAAGCAGATTATATTCTTCCTAAGTATCTGTTAGGAATTTTTTTTCATTCATAGGTTGTCAGCTGGCAATCTACCTCCAAGACTAGTGATCTTAAGCTGTTTTTACTCATCTCCATTTCCTGTGCTGTTTCAGAAAACAGGGAAATGTCTGTGTCTGATCTCAGCAGTCTGTAGGGATTTAAATTCATGAAAGGATATTTAACTGCATCTTCAGTTTTTCAAAATGATAGCAAATCTCTACCCATGATCCAAAACCAAATCATAATATAAACTTGGTCCCATGTTTTCCTCTTAGGTAGGGATTTCAACTTTGTGGGTAGCAGCATTGGCTTACAACACAGAGGTGTTCTCTAAAATGGCTTCATCAAGATTAGAAGCCTCCTGACCTGCTTATGCTCGGATGTGGTGGTTTGTGTCTTTCCACAGGTTAGGTCACACACTGTGTTTCAGTGAGGTACGTCTGAGTTCCTGGCTCGTGCCTCCTGAGAGATGGGAGGAATGGAGACTAGCTTGGAGGACAAGGGGTTAAGTGCTTTTGTGACCCCTCTTCTCTAATGTTTCTAGTTTACCATTGTTACCATTAAGCCTAATGCCAAGTACAGATGCTCATCCAGCTTCCGAGGTAGAAATAGTATCAAAGTTAATTAGTACCACCTATGTATTTATATCTCATCTGTCCTCTGACTTCACTGCATGTAGGTATTCTTCGGTTTGCTCACCAGCCCTGTGTTGATCAGCCACTGGTACACATGCTGTGTTGTGTAGTTCTTCGTTCTAGTGTTGTAACCAGTTGACTTCTCTGTTTGGAATGTAAAAACTGTTGGTAGTTAAATACAGCTTGAAACACAGTGTTACTTTAATTAGCTAATCAAAATTATCCTGTAGGTATAATTCATTTTAATGAAAGAGTGGTTTGGGAAGATAAGATGTGAGTGTAGATGTTTTTCTGTTTCCCTTCAGTTTATACATTTTAATGTTTTCCTCATCTTATAATATCTTGTCTATTTGAAAATCTAATTAAAGATAATTTAAGTCCTATGTTTAGCCATGTTTTGCATAGAAAATGTTTTAGGGAAAGGCCAATGACTCGATTACATACTTTTGATCTTCAATATACTTGTTTCCTGCTTGGAAGAAGATGAAAGGTTGTTTGAGGTGGATCTGTGAGAACTTGGTTAACACTGAAATGGGTGTGGAGAGGAGGTGACAAATAAGAATGGAAAGGCTCTGGAGGGCTGCAGCATAGCAGTGTGCAATAGCCAATGCTGAGTTACTTCAGAAGGTGTTACCTGGGTCATAGTTCAGGGATGGGAATACCTTTCAGTAGTTTGTTTAAATTAGAGCTGTTTATGAATTTAAATAACATTGTTAGGATTACAAACGAAGGAGTAAAATGTATTTTTTTTTTTTTTTTTTTTTATTCAGCTTTGAAAGATCTGTCTTTAACTTGGGAGGTACTCGGGCACTGTAATGCTGCCTTGCTGTTGTTTTTTATGCTTGATCACTCTGGGGAGCAGTAGTGCAAACATGCATGAAATCACAGGCTGTCTCTCCTTTAGTCAGCACTCATGAATCAAGGTTTCCCCCTTCCTCTGCTTTGTAAGAATATAGCTGCAAAAGTTATGAACAGCCTGTGGTTCTGTTCCCAAAGTATACTTAGTTTTGGTTCTTTAAAGCTAGACAGCATGAAACAATTGTGTGAAATGCTTTAGTTATGACTTTTGTCTCTGTGTAGACCAGGTGAAGGTTGGATAAGACAAGGATGCAGGAGGCATCATGACATTCTCTTTGCCACCTTGTCTTGCCTTTGTAAAGATACTTGCATGTTGCATTAGCAGAATGGCATTAGCAAAATAAAAGTCTGATCCTAGTCTGAGGTAATAAAAGAATCTTCAGTTTTAAACTGTCACCTCCACAGATAATTTGCAATAATTTTCTTTACTGCAAGATGATCTTGTCTACCTTAAGTGTAACTTGCTTTCCTTTGCTTTTTCAATATACCTGTTGTTCCTGGGAAGAGTGATTTAACCATAACAAGGGACCAGAGAGAGCTAGAAAAAGTCTTGGAAAACAAAATACATTTCAACTAATTGCATTCTTCTGCTTCATCTCTTGTTATAAACAAACAACCAAAAAATCAGAAGATATACTCTCTGAATCTTCTGCTCTAATTGTCCAATAAGGGCTCTGAAAACTGATAATGGTTCTTTCCTAGGTCATGCTGCCTCCTGGTGCTCAGCACTCTGATGATAAAGGTGCTAAAGAAAATATTCTCGATGATGATGAGTGTCCACTGCAGATATTCAGGGAGTGGCCTAGTGATAAAGGTATGTCTAAAAAGCTTTAAGATATTTTTGTGCCTTGGGTGTTGTAAGCCTTGGTGTGGACCCCCTGTAAAATAAGAATTGTAACGTGCACTTTAGGGTAGTTTGTTTTCAGACACTAGTAATATTAAGTGCTTTTAAGAGTTATTTCACTGAGCACTGTCTACAGTAATACATATTTAGACAGCAGAAGAGTTTTATGTTTTATCCTAAAATTTGTAAGTTACCCACTGTGGAGAAGTATGCTAGTAATCTTTTAAATAATTTTATCTTAAAAATAACTACGTGTCCGGAGCTTAGTAAGCTGAAAGCAATCCTATGGACGACTTAATAGATGTTTGATGTGTGCTTATTCAGTGATAGTGAAACTCAAAGGATGTATAATACTGTGTTTTAGGAATACTAGTCTTTCAGTTGAAAAGGCGGCCTCCTGATTATATCCCAAAGAAATCCAAGAAATTAACAGATGGAAAGCCATTAAAGGGGAAGGAGAGAGTTGACGGGTCTGGTTATGGCTCTTGCCTTCCTCCTGAGAAACTACCATACCTGGTAGAGTTAAGCCCAGGTAAGAATTCTGGTTATCAAATAAACTAAATCACATGGTCATTTAGGTTTTCCAAAAATAAGACTCTTTGGAAGCACAGTAAAGTCTGTTGTCAGTGTAAGTGAATGCCACAGCAGCTGTTCTGTTGTCAGATTCTGAATTAGAGCTATCTAGAAGTTGAGCTGCCTATTACTATAATATCAGAGTTTTAGTAGCAAATGTTTTGGAGTGAAAAAGAGGAGAAATATTTGACTAAGACTTTTTCCTGTGAGCATAGTATGAAAAAGTGAGTATTTCAAAACCAAAAAATCATTCAGTCTTCAACTTCCTTTGGATTTGGGGGTTTAAATCTTGATAATACGTAAAATATTTGATTCTTTCATCTGGTGATTTGGGGATGGAACCAGAAAAGTACTGCTTAAATCTGGTTTGTTTTGCATTCAGAACTACACTGTAGCGTACCCAGTAAGATATATTTGAAAGTGTCATACATGAAAAATACATTTTTAGAAGGACAAGAACATGAGTTTTAAAATTAAACTTATTTGCTAAATATTTTTCAGCCTAGATCATTAACCAGGCTGGGTTTTTTTTGTAATGATGTTTTGGCATCATTACAATTCTGTGAACTTCACTGTAACTTACAACTAATTTTATGACATAGGAACAGCCAGCGGATTTTGTTTATAGAACAACAATGGATAAAGCTCAAAGAACATCTACTTTTAATTTCCATTGTCTTTATGCTTAAAGATTTGGATAAAGACTTTAATTTTTGGTGATTTAGTTATTTGCAGCTCTTTTCCCCATGTTATGTGTAACTTGTCTGTTGTCCAAACAAGTGATTTCACAATTTGAAATCTGATTGCTTACCTTTTGGGAAGCAAGGTTGGAAAATGGTGCTGAAAACTTTGGCCAGAGTGGCAGACAGAAGGTTAAATTCATAGTCAGGTAGTGTGTTGTGGTTTTGTTTTAAAGCAGGCCAGATGAAATTAGCAGTGCACAGAATATATTAAGTATATTTAATGTTGTGTTTTGTACGCTGAGGTTGGATTTGCATATTAATATTTTGAGTTCTTTTAATAGTAGTTTCGATTTCTTTTCTTGTGCTCTAAACTCTTGCTGCTGGTGGAGCCTAGCTGTTTTACTATTAAAATGTTGTGCTTGGGCAGTGGAGCAAGACATCCATTAATGGAGAGGAGGAAGGATCTGAAATGCCACAGGTGGCAACACTGTGTACTAAGCCCTTGCACACTGCCTGTGGGACTGACCTATTGTTCATGTTGTTCTTCTAACAGCTTGTTGTCGCTTTTCTAAACAATAAGGATTGTTTCATGCAGTAGCTTTGTAGTACTGATGCCTTTATATTCTGTGCAGTTTCTAAAGTTCAAAGAGTTTAATGCACTTCATCCTTATAAACAGAGTAAGTGTTGTCTGGCTACGGTTTCACCCCTTCCTGTCTTTTCTTTTCCTACCCTCTTCCGCATGTTCTGCATGGTATCTGTCCTGCTGGTGCTGCCTTCACCTGGGTCCTCTGCATGTGTTTCTAACCCCAGGGAGAAGGAATCACTTTGCCTACTACAACTATCACGCATACGAAGGTAACGCTATATTTAATACTGTTCTCTCATGAGTCACTAAAAACATTGCTGGCTGTAAATCTTGTTTCTTTTTGACAAATGAAAGGCTATCTTGCTTATCTTTTTTTCCAAGGGACTGCTTCTATGAAAGTTATCTGTCTTGTCAGCTGCCCTTTAATTATTCTGTCTGTGAACAAATATCAAATAGTTCATGAATGTGCTACCATCCAAAGAACTCAACCTTCCAGCTAAGGTTAACAACTAAATTTCATACAGTGGTTTACAAGCAGTGTTGTGGTAGAAAGAAAAATGTTCTTTGATCCATCTGATCAGATGCAGAACTCAGAGTTAAAAAGTGAATTGGATAAATGGCACGGAGCTTAATTGTGCTTTTCAGTGTTTGATTGCATTGATGCAGTGGATGAAATCAATGATGATTTTTATGTGAAACAGTGTTTGGACTGCTGGTGACCTCACTTTCTGCTCTGTGGTGTTCCCTAGCATCCTTTGGTGTTTCTGTTGCCTATATTTGTGTTGCCTGATAGTGTGTGTCAAAGCGATTTAGCCATATTAGACAGTAGAGTCTTGTTCAGCTTCATCTGTAGCATTTGACACTGATAACATAACCTACAAATCATTATAGGTCTTTGATTCTCCATAGAGGTTAATGTGCAGATATGTCTAGTTTGCCCAAATAGATGACAATACAAAGCCGCTTTTTCGTTGTGAAATATCTACCAAAATACCTTTTCCTTTTCTTAGTTTTTTAGCATCTGTTCCTTCATTTTATTTTCTAGGCTGCTGTAAAAGCTCTGTAATCCTGTCAGTATTGCTTGCACTTTCATGGCTGTGGAGTACAATACCAGGGTTTAAAGAACTGTTCAAACTTAGGCCTCCAGTGCTCAGCTCTTTGAATTTGGACTTTTATGTCATTAATATCATTATTCCATAGAGCAGTAAAGTTCCATAGAGTGTGCAGAACTAATAAGCATAGATGAGCTCTGCAGGAGTACCTGACTGTTGGGTAGAAAGCTTGAAATCTGGTTACACCTCACTGGGGGAAAAAAAAAAAAATCAATTTACATTTTCTTAAATCTTTATCTCAGAATGTGAAAAGAGGTTTGAGTACTTTACAGTCGAGTCTGTCTCTTTGGAACAATGCATTTCAGGATACTTGTATTTATTATAGAAATAACTCCTGTGGAAATAATCTGTCAAAACATAAGCTGTTTATATTTTTGCAGAAGAACCTGGCAGACCTCAGTTTCATGCCCTGTGCAGTTGCACAAATTGAGTCAGTTGGCTGCTGGAAGTATGTCCTGTGTTTTCCACTTGTCCACAGCTGCTGCTGTTGCTGGTTGTGTGACTTTTGTAGACTGAAGCTCAGGTTCTGCACAGTACAACAGAGGATGCACTTCAGTAGCTTGTGGCCGTATGTGTGGCAGTCGGCAATTGTCCCTGTCTTCCAGGTCATGTAAATGAACCAATAAACTGAGATGAGGATGCTAGTAGAAGAATCAGACTGAAGTGAGATCTACTAGCACTCTGAGTAGCTGATACTGTCTGTGTTATGTGAATATGGCTGCTGATGAGTTCAGGGATGATACTGAATTCGATTGCTCAACCATAATATCTAAAGTCTGAGAAAAATGCCATAAAATCAAGTTTTTAGCATGTGAGCCTCTGAGATTTATCCTACAAGATTGAAATAATAATAATAAGGCATTTAAAAAACAACAAAAACAAGGCAACACCTTAAGGCTTTTCTCCCTCCCTGTCCCAAAAAAAGCAACCCTGAGCTGTAGAACGGGCAGCAATGGGAGATGCTGAGAACATACAGGTATAACAACTCAGAAAGAAGAATTACAGGAGGTTGGAGAAGCTTAAACACCTTGGCCAGGGTGGTTTCCCCAGCCAGTCCTCCTTCTGAAAACAGAACTGCAGTATGGTATGTGGTAACACTTGTACACCTTAGTTCAAAGGAGCTTTGTTGTCTGTCACGTTCCTCTCTGAGTCTTCCTTCACTGAAAATGTTGACTGTTGGCTCTTTCTGCTGGAAGTGCACATCTTCACTGAAATTTAATAGCAGAATTATCTCCTGAATTTGACATGCTGTTTCAGATCTACCTGACCAATCCCTTAAACTTCTTACTGTCTAAATTCGTAGTACTCAGGAATTTGGGCAGGATATCTGCTGCTTTTCAAATGTGGATTTAGCTAATTTTTAAGTCAATAGGTGCAGTCCCTTGTGTGGATGTTTTTTGTTCAACTTTGGGCTTACTTGTTGCCTCTGATCTGATCTTCATCATTTGTTTTAGTCTAGTTTAAAGTCAATACTATTTCCCAGCATTGTTTCAAGCACTGGATTAGTGAAATCAATTGAAATGATCATCTCCAAAGTGGTGTAGCGTTCACCTTTTAGTGGTGAAGTAATGCATTTAAAATACACATGCATGAAGGGAGGCCTGTCTTGTCTCTTTTCTTAACCAAAAATATACATTTGTATTATGAATCACTGAGTTGATGTGTTTACAGTGACTGTTCACTTATGTTCACTACACAGTTTAATAACACAGCTATTTGAAGTGTGAATGTTGACTTGTAGCTGCGTAAACCCAGTCGTGAAATCTATTTGTATTGCATCCTTAGCATGGAGAGGGATAGAAAGCCACAGTTTTCATAGGTTTTACATAAATAATTTCACTAGTGTCTACAGGTGAATAGTTACATACTGTGCATCTTTTTACTGTACACTGTGTTTTATAGTTGCTTTTACTGTACGTTTACATGCCTTAGTGCTTCTCAGAAACCTTTTTTTTTTTCCTAAATCACTACTTCCTCCCTTGTCTGCTTTCTGATGGAGGGTTACGCCTTGAAATACAGGTTTTCCATCTGCACTAGGCAGTACACACAGATCTATGTGTACTTATGTCATGGGGGAAAATAACTTGTGAAACATTTCAAATGTAAACTGTACCAAGTTTATTTGAACCCTCATATGGTGTCACTGGGAAAATCTTTGTCATGTAGATAATGAAGTTCAGTGTATGCAGTAGTGGCTAACTTGGTCTCTTGAATCATAGTTCTTGCTTCTTCAGCTTGTGTCTTTGAGGCACATTCCAATTCTGTTTTCTAAGCTTCAAAACAAAACAAAAACAAACAAACAAAAGTAGACATTTTCTGCACCCGTTTAGCTCTTCTAAATGGGTGGCATAAATAGAATACAGGGCATCTTTCTTCTGTGCCTTTCTTCAATGTCTTCTATTATGTGTTTACTGACACATAAAATGAACAGGTTAGTATAGAATTCACGTTTTCCTTACGTCTCTTTTTGCTTCCTCTGCATTGTTTATTAGTGCCCACCTTTCTAAGGACTTTGACCTTTCAAGTTTCTGAATTAGAAGTGTCTCAGATAAAACCTGCAGATGTATTTTTCCCTTCCTCCTCCAAATACTGGACCGTAAATTTTATGGCTGAGCTTATATGTATGGCCTTTCGGAACCACCAGAAGTCCTCAATATGTAGTCCTTAGAGGCTAAGAACAGCCTTCTTGGACTGGCTGTTGATTGGGGAGCTGGGACTTCGCCACAGGTACGGCAGAATCCGTGTCCTGCTGCAGTGAGCTGAGGAATGCATTCCAAACAACATTTAGGCCAGCTTCCAGTTGTTGAAAAACAGGAAATACAAGACTTTACAATGTAGTATAATGCAGCCTTCCTTCCCTCCTGCATCCCTCTCCTAGAACAAAAAAGCCTTTCATCCTTTTTAGAATTTGTAGTAAGTCTCTTCAAGACCAAGATACCTTTCACTGTAGAAATTTACTTCTACTGATGGATGGTTACGTATGTGCTCCAAATAACTTCCAGTAACTCCTTGGCTTTTTCTTGTTCTCCTGGGCAGAAAAAGTGTTTGTATCTAGTGCTGTGGTTTAAAAGTAATTTTTGTTGTTTTTACAGCGGACACTTCAGATTAACAAAACAGTCCTAATTTGCCTCAGCAGAAACATTGTGATACTAAAATATTTCTTATGTGAAAGCACATTTTTCATTACATACATCTATACTGAGGATATTCAGTGGCGTGGAGTAAACATTAGCAGGAACTTAGTATTGCTTGGTTATTCACAAATGCTGAACTTGGGAATGAGATCCAAAAGTTACCTTAAACAAACACTTGAAAAACATAATATTTTATTGTGTATTTTACAACATATTTCAGAAATATTTTTGCTTCCTCTGCATTGGGTGTGTGTTTTTTTTTGTTTGTTTGTTTGTTTTTTTTTTTTTTTTTTCTAAGATGTCAAAGATTAAAAAGTATGGGGCAGGAGGGAAAATATATTTAGTATAGGGTTAAAATCACTAGACTGGAAAGCCTATCCTCTGATCTGTATATAAAGGGCTTAGGAAAAAGTGCCATAAGAAATTAAGAACAAAAGCACTAAATAACTAGTCCTGACTTCTGTGCCACTTACTTCTGAAATTCCAGTAGTTTTCCTTGTTGAATAAGGATCCTTGTCTCAAAAATGAATCTTGTCTCTTGGGTGCCAGTTTTACCAAGCTGGGATGTGGGTAGGAAGAGGAAATGTTTGATTTTTTGGATTCAGAAATAAATGAATGAAGCAGCTACTCTAGATTTTCATGTGTAAGTTGTGAGGAGACGTAATAACAATTCAGAGAATTGAGGGTAAGCAGCCAGATGTATTCAGTAATGTATTACATGCCTGCATTTGAAGACACTGAAGATGCAGCCATATAATTTCTGATTAGCGTTGTTAAGTATTAAAGACTGCACACAATTTAAATTGCTGAAGGTACTGTATTAGCTCTTCCTCTTTTAGTGTACAGTGATACTAGATGTATGTCTCTACAGAGCTAAATATTGGGATATACTAAAGGGGTTCTCCCTGTAACTGAAAAACGTTTAGAGGACTGAGTGCTCTTCTGTTTAATACTTCTTCTGTGATGGATCACATAGTGATTCTAAATATGTTTGATAACTGGATATTACTGTAGTATAAGCATGTAACTTTGGTATTCATGGTACTAGTCTGTGGAGTGTCTCTGCCTAGTGTCTTTCTGTCCCAATAACATCACAACACCCTCAGGAGAAGCTTATTACTGAGATCACCCATTATACTTTTTCCATGATGTGTCCATTCACTTTGTGGATTTTTTTCAGTTCTTTCATACTGTTGCCTTCCTTTCTTTTGTATCTGCTGTGTTTACTTAGTGCACTAGGTGCTAAGACCAATGTTAAGTTTTCTCTGTGCTTTTTTTTTTTTTATTAATTCCTTTAAATACTGTTCACTGAAGGATTGATAGAAGACTTCATAGTGTAATTTAAATGGTTAAATGGCTTGCATTCTGATTTTAATGGACAGATCCTGGTAGTAATGCTAGGAGTTTACAATTAGGTTTATGGAAGTTCTGTTTACGTTGACTTTTATTCAAAATTTGAAGATGACTCGTATCCTACTGAAGAGAATGTCTCTGTATGTGCTGTGGCTTTAGTAATATTCTCTAATGACTGCTGGAGATGACTTGAAATCGTTGCTCATGCCCACAAGAAAGACACTTTTTTTTTCTTAGAAGCCTCCCTTTTTTTGCATCATCCCTTTGGAGGAGAAGTTGGAAAGAAGGCAGAAGTGACACCATTAGTTTAGTATTTGATAGTTGTGGTATTTCCTGGGAAGCAGGGTGAATTTAATGTGCATGGCCAAAATCCATCTGTGTTAGCCTGTGATGGCAGCAGCCAAGTCCTGTGCTGCATCCAGTGTATCTTGCAGAATTTTATTCTATTTGGACAATATATTCTTCTGGAGGGAGGAGGGAGACAAACTTTGTCTTTGACCTCATTTTCTGCAAGGTGAAAATATAGGCTGAAGGGGTCTGTAAAGATAAGGCCAGAAGGGCTACAGTCCTGTAGGTCAAGACTAAAGCTGTCATAGGTAAAACTTTTGTAAGACTCTCTTTTGATATTGTCCTATTACTGTATCTTATTAAAAGGAAACAGCTTAGCATGTTGACCATCTGACAGTAGATATTACTGATAATCTCTGCAATTAGTAAGATAAATAAATACTATTATTGTAGAAATCTGCAGATACTTTACTTTTAAACCTATACTGGGGTACCCATATAAAATCTTAAAAGATTAACAAAAATTGTATTGCTTTAACTGTGAAAGCAATAGAGAAAGTTTTTCAAAGTACGTTTAGATTAGTAGTTCTTGGTTACTTTGTTCTTTGCACTTGCAGAAAACAACCACTCTGAGTGGACTCTATCTACTTCTAGTATTTTTACACTCTGATGAACAGCTAAGTTGCCAAAAAGATCTTGAAAGAATGTCTTTTTTCTTTTCTGTGAACATTGCTACTCTGACTACATTACTGCAATTCAGTTCATATTGTGTGAGTATTTGAACTTCAGTAACTTTTAAATTAATATTTGTCACTTGCTGTACAGATGGTTCTGACTCCAGAGATAAGCCAAAGCTCTATCGTCTACAATTAAGTGTCACTGAAGTTGGAACTGAAAAATTTGATGAAAATTCCATTCAGGTATGGGGAAAAAAATAGTCAACTCAGATGACAACTGATCCAATGTCTGGTCAGTTGTGTGTCGTGGTGGAAACTAGTACAATATTCTGTGAATACCCTTCAAAGCTAGAAGGGTAAAATATTGCTGCAGTTTCATGTTAATGGTCATAACTGTGACTTATTTCCTCTTTATTGCTTTAAGGGGAAAGTAAGGGTTATGTTATTTAAAATGGTTAATTAATTCTACTTCCAGTTGTTTGGTCCAGGAATTCAGCCTCATCATTGTGACCTCACTAACATGGATGGAGTTGTTACTGTAACCCCAAGAAGCATTGATGCTGAAACGTACGTGGAAGGTCAGCGGATTTCAGAAACCACCATGCTGCAGAGTGGAATGAAGGTTCAGTTTGGGTCATCTCATGTGTTTAAGTTTGTGGATCCCACTCAGGACCATACTATTCCTAAAAGACCTGTTGATGCAAGTCTTATGGTCAAAGGTCCAAGACACAAAACTGGGTGAGTAAAATTTTTCTTCCCACTGAGGTGAAAGGGGGAGCTTTAAAAACTAGAGAGTGAGAGAGTTATAAGTTGCCTGTGATTAGAGTATGACTAAGAGAGTTCTGGGTAGCTGCTTTTAAGTGTCAAATGTATAATAACTATTTTAATCCTTGAGCTCCACCTTGTGATTTTTTTTAGAATTAGCAAGTGCCTTTTCCATTATGAAGTTTTCAGACAAGTTTTCCTGGTGCTCAATTCTGTGTTAAAAACAGTGGATCACCTTATTTTAGTGTATTTCCAAGTTCATCCAACTTCCAGGAAAAGTAAAGAATTCCCTGAATGTTTTCAGAGAGCCTGATTTTTTTTTTTTTTTTTCTCAGATAGTAACTTTTAAAATTCCACTGGAAGGATTTGGAAATCAAATAGGGTAGTCATGGAATGAGACTTTCAAGATAAGGAACTAAATGTCTCGATATAGAAACCGCTTTTTAAAGTGTGATTACATACCCTCTAATGTCTGTGTTGCAAGAACTTAACAGTTTAGAAGTCCATGCTGTTGTTTCTCTGTGAAATCATTTTTTTGATAAATGCATAATAAAAACACTGACTATACATTTAGTGACTTGTAGGTGCTCAGGTATTCTGTTCAGCAGCTATAGAAATATTAAGGAGAAACAATCTTAAAATCATACAGTATAGCACAGAAAAAAATAGCATTGTATTTTCCATCTTCTCTGAGTCGGAATGAAGCTACTATTGTGGCTACTGTGGTTTAGAAAAGAAACAAAATGTCCTTTTTTTTTGGGAAAGAGGCCCCTCTGGCTTATCTGCTGAGTTAATATAGATATACACTTCAACCATGACTGTTTTTTTTTCCACTTTATTTTAATGTGGAAGTACCCTGTGTGCTTGTGTAGGATCTGTCTGTAGGAAGACTTCTAGCCATGTAGCTGTCTAAATGTAATATATCTGTTTAAATCTTGAGTTCATTCTGTATCTAGCCTGCAGATCAATAAAGAAATGATCTCTCAGGTTTGCATAGTCAACTGCAAAGCACTGCACTGCTGCAGAGCTTTACCTGGACAGCAGAATCTCTGACAAAGAGCTACTGCAGCTTGAACAATCAAATATTTTTTTAAATCTTGATAACAAACAGGTAATGAAATGCATTGCTATGATTTATGAATTACCAAAGTTGTTGTACATTTGGTGCTGAAGAGCTGAGCAAAACATTGTAGCGAGTCTACAGCAACAAATACAGTACCTTGAACATATTTTTGTGTGTCTCTGAGTATTTGTATTTTCACATTTGCCTGGGAAAAATGTAACTAAGAATCTGTTTTTCTAAAAGAAATTTGTATGAATATTTGTAGTTTTTTTATATAAAGAACTGATACAGTGTTTAAAAAAGTGAATATTAACTAGACTCATGAATATTAATTTAATAATTTTGTCTAAGCTGTTCCTTGTTTGTTGGGTGTTTAACAATAGAATTTCTAAAAAGTACTTGAAATGTGATTTTGCTTTTAGAGCTGTTCAGGAAACCACATTTGATCTGGAGGGAGATGTTCACAGTGGAACAGCATTACCAGCAAGCAAGGTATTATATTATGGCTAAATTAGCAGTAAATAAGAAAAGGTCACAATTACAACTTCAGTTACGTTTGGTAAAGTGTGGCCAGTTCATCATTCTCCCCAGCCATTTCCTGTTGTGGGTGGGCTTGGCTATCATGTGCATCATTATTTCTTTTCCCCACAAAACTGTTCTGCTTAAGTTTGTATGAGAATTTGCCGTGCATTCTTTGCCAAGAGCAGCAACTTTTTTCAAAAAGGGAAATTCCTCAAGCCTGGAGTAGTGTGGGGATAAACTGACCTACTGAAGGCAGGTTCCAGGCAGGTAGAGATTTGTATTGGAAATGTTACATACAGGAGATAGTGATGTATCATGTGACTATTCTCATCTGCAATAGGGTAAATAAAATGTTCTGTATAAAATGTGGAAGGGTGTTGAGGTTTAGTTTAACCGGGCTTTTAAAATTTAATGGATGTGACTTTTGACTTCAGTAGAGCTCCTGTACACTGACTAAACAAACTGTCTCTGCAGTCATAGTTATAAACATTTTATGAGGTGATTAATCTTTTCTTGCTTCTTTTCTGCACTGTCTCTGTGTTAATAATTTCTGTGCTGGAGTTGCATTGTTCAAGAGCAAACAAATAGGGTAAAATACACAATGGTTAGTGCTATTCTGGGTGCTGTGATCATATGACTCAGATTAAATGAGAGAATTGATTATTTCAGCAGTTTGAAATGGAGCAGTTCTCCCAGAATTGCTTTTCCTTTTATGTTTTATTACTAGTATTATCAAATTAAAATACTTATTAAGAAATTTAGTAATCTTGATGGGGCCCTGTAGGTGTGAATAATATTCTGATAGCTTTTGAATATATTTGTGAGTCTTAAATTTTCTTTTTTCTTGTCATGGACTTCTGATTAAGTTTTTCTTTTTTTTTTTTTTTTGTACCTTTGTTTGTGACCTTGTTTTCTTTTATTTTGGCTAAGTTTTTTATCTCTGATAGGAATTTATTCAGTGACATTTTGAAAGTTAAAAAAAATAAATAGAAGAAACTTCATAAACTATTAAAATGCCTAAAAATTGCTCAGAGTTGGAGTTTCTGACATTATTGTATAACATACCTCGTATTCTTTTGAGAATCATTAGGAAAATACTTCTAGTGGGCCTAGGGAAGCTTGAGAAAATTTAAATATTTGGTTTGAGTTGTACTTTTTGAGCATGTGCATGACATCTTGTTAAATCAGTGGTGAATCATTTGTTTTCTAACAGTTCTAATGAGTTTGCTTTTCTGTTTGGAAAAGGGGTAACAATAACTTTAATGAAAATTCTCTGAGACCTGGTGATTAAAAGTGACTCATGGATTGGCATGTCAGTACTGAAAAAAAAAGATTTTTATTCAAACTCTTGTTCTGAGATGCAGATTTTGGTAGGGTTTTCTTTTATCAGAGCAAATTAGTCCTAGAAATTTCTTTGGAAATGTGAGAACATTTCATAGTTTACTGATGTTTTGTTTTCAACTGTTTATACTGAAAAATAATTGCTAAATATTTTGCTGCTAAAGCAGCATGTTTGCCCCCTTCCTGATAGAATTTGGTGTAGTAGGAAATCATAAATAAATCATAAATTAAAATTGCTACTAAGGAACTGAAAGGATCCCTGAAAGAAAACAAACAGAACTATACGTTAAAAAATTCCATCGTTTGGTTTGCCACTTCTTGTCTTGGGAAATTATGTACAGTCTAGCAGGTCAGACTTCCCTTAGGAACAGGATAAATTATGTTCTGTATCAATAATGTAAGCACTTGGAGCTATTGCACAAGCAGGGCAAGGGAGAGTAGCCAGTTTTAAATCTGTTAATGTTTTTATCTCTGGGCTCAAGTTGTCATTAACAGTTCATTCTTACACTGTATTGATAACTATACAACTTTTAAAGGAAGGCATTTGAAATTTTGGTTGTATATTCTTGCAATACATTAACAAATAACTGCTCCTAGCTGGCTGTTGGCATCTTTTGAATTGCAAGCGTGGCCTTCACTGCTCCATTTTGGTGGCAACACCTGCTGAGCTGCTGGATTCTGCTCTGTACTCTCCCGTTCTCCCATCTCTTTTCGAGCCTCGACTTGACACTTCTAATAGCGCCAAGCAGTGTTTCAGTAGTGCCAAGCACAAATGCTGCCTAATCCCATGTCTGCATGCTAAGCACTTGTCCTGCTGTTTTGAATTAGAGCACCAGCAGGCTGGATGGTGACAGGACTTCATCAGCATCCAGCACAGCCGAACGAGGAATGGTGAAGCCGATGATTAGACTAGAACAGCAGCAAGATTACCGCAGGCAAGAAAGCAGGTAGGAAATGTGTAATCCATTACTTTTAATACTAGAAAAAAAAAACATTTTTCTGGTAGAACAAGCAGTCCATTGAAACATTTCAAACTACCTGAATTTTTCCCTATGGAAAATGAGATTTCCATTGAGATCTCACTCCAGATAAAACCCAGGATTTAAAACTAAAGCAAAAAACCTTAATTATTCCTTTGCATCAGTATTTTATTATTCGTAATTCTTTTTCTGTGAAGCCAATAGTCATGTTATGCCATTGTCAACTAGTGATCAGATGTGTCGTATGACGTGCTTTTAATAACAGTAAAACTATTTGAAACTTTCATTTGTCAGAGGCAAGATGATGTGATTTACTCTACAGAGGGAAGTAACCAGGTCATTCCCATTTCTACAGTAGTATTGTTGGCGGGTCTTGTGAGCAAGAGTTTTAACTACCCCTGAATGCTTGTCTTGTAAAGTTGTTTAATTTATAAATAGATACAACACTTCCTTCTGGAGTTTTACTTCCATGATATAGTGGCTGTTATTAAGTAGATAAATACTATAATAGTAAATAAATGCTATTAGGTCCCCTTTTTAGGTACAGAGTAATACTTCCATGCCCTGCAATATTCAGGTTGTTTCCAAAGTCACAGTGGGAAACACTTGACCTCAAATCAGATGCCGTTTTTGTGCTATTCAATCTCCATGTATTCATCATACCTTGTTCAAATTCAGCATGTGTCCATCTGAAAGGACTCAACTCCACGTTAGACAATGTCTTTTAATATTAGCATTGCTACAAAATTGTTTCTATTTTCCATCATGATTAGAGAAGACCTCATGGGATCCATCCAAAGATGCTGCATGTTGGCTGACATGGTTGCAAAGCCACTGCCTTGTCTTTGAAAGGTCATTGAGATCAGAGGTACTGAATGACCTGAAAAGGGCAAATACTGCACCCATCTGTAGAAAAGACAAAGTGCAAGACCCAGAAAATACCGACCAGTCAGCATTAATTCATGCTCTGGGGAAACTGTAGAACGAATTGTAGAAGCTATTTCAAGGCACACAGAGGACAAGAAGATGGTTAAGAGAAGACATTGTGGGTTTACTAAGGATAAACCATGCTTTGACCAACTTCATTGCCTTTCACACTGAAACAACTTACATAATAAATGAGAGGAGAGCTCTGGGTATCACATCATGTACCTGATTCTAGCAAGACATTGCCACAGTCTTCCAGAACACCCTTGTTGATAAGAGATGGTCTGGATCAATGGAACACAAGATGGGTGAAGAAATGGCTAAACAGAGAGGCTGAAAGCGTAATGGCTCAAAGCTGAATGGGGCAGCTGGTTGTGAGTTGAGCTTCTCAAGGTCACTACTGGATCTCATACTACTCCATAACTGTGTTAACAGTCTGGGTGACAGGACTGAAAGCATAATCACCAAGTTTGTATATAATAACCAAACCTGAAGGACAGCAAATAAGCCTCAGAGAGCAGCTGTTCAAAAAATCCTATACAATAAGAATTGCATGAAGTTTAACAAAAGTAAATCTGAAGTCCTGGGCATGAGACAAAAATTGTCAAAAGTAATGTAGGTTGAAGTCTCATTCTTTTCATTGTAGTTCTTCTGAAAAGAACCTGGGGTCCTAGTGTACAGCAAGCTAAACCTGAGTCAGCAGTGTATCCTTGCTGCAGTGAAGCATCAGCAAAAACACAGCCACCAGATCAAGGGATGTAATTATCCCACTTTACTTGACTCTTCTTAGGCTGTGCCTGGAATATTGTGTCTTGGAATATTGTGTTCGATTTTGATGTCCCCAGTTCAAGAGCGAGATTGAAAAAATGGCAACAGTGCTGTGAAGGGACATCTCCACCAAAATTGTAAGCGGACTAATGAACTCAATGTATGACTAATGGTTGAAGGGATTGGATTTTTTCAGTCTAGAGAGAAGGTGGCTCAGGGTGAATCTAATCACAGTCTTGCAGTACCTAGAAGAGTAGTTACGGAGAAGATGGAGGTGCTTTCATCACAAGCATGCTTGTCAAACAGGCAAAAAGTAGAATAGGGAGCAGTAGCTAGGAATCCTTTTACTGTGAGTCCAAGTGAACATTTGGGATATGTTGTCCAGAGAACTACTAGAATGTCCCTCACTGAAAACTTTCAAGACTCTGCTTGACAAGGCACATGGATAACACCGGGCTTTCAACAGAAGGTTTGAGTTCATGATCTCTAGAAGTCCCATTCAATTTAAGCTTCTGTGTGATTGTTTTTTCTCTGGAGTCCAGTGTCTTCATCAGTTATAATAAAAAGAAGCTTTTTCTGTGTGTGTGTGTGTCTATCACTAGTGTTCAAAAGTGAACAAGGCAAATAGACTTTATTCCAGTCATTCACTGAATGGGTTGAAGATCAAAGATTAGGATTTGGCTGCCTTATTTCTTTATCTCTAATCTCTAGAAAATAAACAATTGAAATCTGAGTGCATAACTCCAATTTACTTAATGGTATGGATGTTCTGATTAAAATGTCGTTCTATGAAACAGAAGTTGATGACAGTTCAGTTAAGGATTATGGTTATACATCCTCATTAGAAAACTGACTTCAGTTACCATGAGGAAGCATATATTTTAAAAAAACCCAAACAAACACAGAATTTGTTGCCTTGGATAGCCTTCAGGAGTTCTTAAAAATGTGTTTGGTTGGAAATGAGAATAGTGATATATAAGTGGTGGTAATGGAATGGCAACACTTGCCCAATTCCCAATTTTAACAGGCCTTACAAAATTTATACGTAGGTAGTGTGCTGTCTAAAACAACCACACAAGGACAGAGGTAGTTTGTTTAGGGGTTTGTTTTGCAGTTTACCCCAGGGACTTAACTTATGAGTATACAGAAATATCTGGAGAATGCATTATTGTTTTTACTGCAGCTTTAAAGTGTAATATTACCTGATACTATGCTCATGGAGGAGGCAACCCCTAACCAATATTTTATGGCCTTGCTAGATGTACGCTAACTAGATTTACAGACTGATTTACCTCAGAGAATTTCATCACCACAGGAAAAATTTTTCTGTAAAAGCAATACCACAAATACAGTGTATACTTAAAATGTATCCAGCAACAAAGCAGGTCAGCTAGCTGCTATCATATTAGAAGCACAGAGAGTGATTTTAACTTAAATTTCCAATTTGCAAAGCTTACCTAGAGAGTATTTCTTGTGTATGCTTAGGAAAGGCAGAAAACAGTATATTAATTGAAGGAAATTCATAGAAAATAATTGACTTACTGCATCTCTTCCTAGAGAACTAATTTGTGGTTAACACTAAAGTAGCATTTTTTAAAGTAGTCTTTCCTCTTCCTACTTATCTAGTGAAGCTAATTTCCAAAATTCTGTAAGCAGTCTTGTACTAATCCATATCAGTTCTCTTGTGCCTCTTTCCCTCCCGTTGGAGTGAAGACCAAGAATCCTGTTTCTTCCTTTGTGCTGGAAGGGATCACTGGCTTTTTGCTCTAAAGAAAAGGAAATAAATGATGAGCTAAAATTTGTCACTGTTTTACCAGCCAGTGTATTGAAACATTTATTTGTCTGATTACTATTCCTGTAATGACAGATTGAAAATTTGTCTGGAGTTCTTGCTGTAGTTCTATTTGGATAATATTGTGTGAATATTAGTTATTCTGCTATGGAAGTAATTAAGGTCTCAGTGAAGACGATGAACTTTTGACAGTGTGGAGGTAGTGAGGAATTAGTTCATATTAAATTTATAGCAGTAAAAACAGAGGAAATGCTACAATTTACACACCAACTGAGAGCTCATCATAGAGTGTGCTGTCATGTTTGAAGTGTAACTGAACTGGCAGAAATGTGTGCACCTATTACCCTGCTCTTCCTTAACTTTTAGCTCACCAGAACTTTGTTTTGCTGAGCTGTTTTTATAATAGAGCATTATCTAGGTGGGTGTGTTAAAAAAAAAAAAAAAAAAAAAAAAAAAAAAAGAAAACCAAACAACCCCCCCCCCCAAAAAAAACCAAACCAAACAAAACAAAAACAACCAAACAATTCGCTGAAACCCAAAAGTACCCTTAGTTTTTTTGATTGGTTAAGCTAAAATTTAATTTCAGATCTTTTGAATTCAACTTTCAAAGTTATCTTGTGAATTTTTACTACAGGAGGTAGCTGAATAAAGGACCTCAGTGTCCTATCTCTGCTTTGTGGCATAACTAAGATTTCTCAAGATAATGAGGCTTATATAATCATATTACTTTCCAAATTGGTGGGGAAAGTAGAAAGCTACCTATTGTGTTACATATGGTTAAAAATGTCTGTTACATGAAGATGATGTTAAGCTTTTACGTGTTTCCTAAAAATAGATGCCTAAATACAGAGAACAGCTCAGCTAATGCTTTTGCTTAAGGGAGGAATGAAATATGTGTTTAACTTTCTGTAGACACCAGAAAAAAATCAAAGTCCTGTTCTTTTTTCTCCGTTGTGAATTCTTTGATAGGTACTGGTAAGAAAGAGTTCTGCAGTCAGTGTCAGTGAGGATGTAGTTCTGGGGTTCACAGAGTGGCTGCTGTTTCTTAGCATAGCAACAGCCAGGTGAGGGTAAGGACTAGATTTTTACCTCTTCCTTCTCCTTGCCAGCATACAGGGCAAAGGTGTTGACCAAGTTCTCATCAGTTTTGAGGGCATTAAAGGTAGCAAAGTACATTTGTTGTAACTGAGCTGGTGTTTCAGGTGAAGCTTCGTTCACTTTCTTTCATGTGTCCATGAATAATTTGTGATTTGAATCCTGTCAGTGGCAGATGGGAGACGGATCCTACCAGTCTGCCATACAGCACAGCAGAGGGTGCTCATTAATATTACAGGCTCCACAGTCCAGGTCTGCACTTTGATCTGTTGTCTTGCAGGCAAATGCAGCCTGAATGATTCTAGAGGAAAGGTAAAAAAGGATCGTTCTGGGCAAGGATATTGCGTCAGCCTTCGGAACCGGTGTATTTGGAGATACCTGTCATTTTTACAGTGAAATTAATATCACCAGTGTGGATTGTTTTTTTTTCAATTTTTGTCTTCTTTCTTTAGATCTCAGGATACCCATGGACCAGAACTGATACTGCCTGCCAGTATTGAATTCAGGGAAAGCTGTGAGTAAATTATGAAGTTACAACACTAACCTGTTGACACATTTTTCTATAGCGTAACATTTCAGTCAGTTTGAAAACTTAAGGATAACTTAAGTAAACATTGAAAAGAATAGTGACTAAACAGATGATAGCTAATCCAGTAATATAAACTATTTTGTTGGGGAGATTGAACAGACACTCCAGTTATTGAGGCAGATTCATGCATATATAATTCTAATTGCATTTCAACTCCTTGTCTTCAGATGCTCAAATTTAACTGTGAAAAAAATTGTTAATCTCGTGTCTTCAACAGGACATTGAATTCATTATCCATCTATACAGTTCTCCATGCCTTGTATAATAAATTGCATCTTGGTTAAGAACCCTTTTATATGAAATCTTATGTAGTTTAGGTTTTCACTTATTTAATTTTTCTTGTCCTCTTGGCCCCCACGTTTTCAAGGTCTCAGATCTTGTAAAAAAAATTCATACGAGAGGTTGTTCACTTGTAATATTTGAAGTTAAATAGATTTGTGAGCATGTAAAGACAGATTTTTATTAGTATAAAATTCTCTATAATAAGGGAGCTTTCTAGGAATAGAATGGACAAGAGAAAACTTGCATTTTCCCGTTCCCTTGGAGATGCAAGTTTTCAGCAAAGAGCTAGGAAATTAGTAAAGAAATGTTTCTTCATGGTCAGTTTTGCTAGCTTTATATAGAAGTCAGTTGTAACTGTGCCTATGTAACTGTAGTACATAATAAACAATTTGGAATTCAAGCCCATGTAAGTCTCTCCCCTCTCCCCTGCTCCTCCTCCAGAAAGAAATCCTCTATGCCCCAAGTTATGAAATGTATTTTGTTTTCTTTCTTTGTGGCTTTATGACATGTTTTTTTTTTCCCCTCTCTCTCTCTCTCTCTCCAGCTGAAGATGCCTTCTTATCAGCCATTATCAATTACACAAACAGCTCGACAGTTCATTTCAAGCTGTCCCCCACATACGTGCTGTATATGACATGTCGGTATGTATTGTCAAGCCAGTACAGACCTGACATCACTCCTACTGAGCGTACTCACAAAGTCATTGCAATAGTCAACAAGATGGTGAACATGATGGAAGGAGTTATACAGGTGAGTTTCTCTGCAAAAACATGTCAAGAGAATTAAATATGTCGGGTAAACTATCTAGTAACCTTCTTAGTCTTTTTCTTAATATTTAACCAGCTATTGTTAAGGGTGAGAGTAATCCCTACCCATATGAAGGTTTGGTTTTGTGTCAGTGAATAATGTGAGTGGAAAGAAATGCTGTTCTGAGTAGCGTGGGAGGTTAGGGAAGGCCTGTTGCTCTGAAGATACATTCTCTGACAAGAAGTTACTCTTCTGTTCTCTGGAAGGTAAGATTCTTTGCAAGCGTTTCTGGCTGTGAGCCTTTGTAAAACAAGTTGGATGTGCTTATTAAAGAATGTTGTATAGGGAGCAGTTGTTTGCAGGGACTTATGCTTGAAGTGAGCATACTAAAAAGAAAGACAGCTCTTTGATGATCCTGTCACTTTTAGAACTTCTGTAACCACAGTAATGGTAATAAGCCTGGACTTTTTGAACCAAACTGACACAATTAATTTACATAAAGAAATGTTAAGTTCTCAAATGTTCCAACATATTATATGGAGTCTGATGTTATTGCTGTTATATGTACAAGACTTATGCAGAAGCATGGGGGAGTTCTGTTTTGTGTAGGAATGGAGGATAAGATCTACTGAGTCGCCTGTGAAATTAGACAATGCCTTGCATTGTGTAACTGCTGATAAAATATAATGGTCGCCTCCTGAAAAAGGAGTGCTAGTTCAGGTATTAATTATTGCAACTTCTTTGTCTGCAGGTTTTTCTCAGAGGGAAAATTGAATATATCTCTGTATTTATTAAAACATATAAGTTTGTTGCAAAACGTACTGCCATGGTAGCCTGTAGGGACCCTGCTGTGCTAGGCACTGTACAAGCATAACAAACGCATCCTGCTTTACAGAACTTATGATGCAAGTGTTACACAACAGGTTGTTTGCTTTCCTCATCTCCATTCTCCCAATAAGGGAGTGGCATGAAAGTCACGGCAAACCAAAACTATTCATCTTTTGTGTAGGTTTTGGAAAGATTTAGTGGACTTTTCAGCAGGGAGAATGTTATAAATAGACAGTTCTGTAAACAGTTACAACAGGCTCCCACCTTTCACAAGAAAGAATGGGAGAAAATGCCAGTGCTGAGAACACTTCTCAGTAAGAAAACAAAGATGAGCCTTTCGTGTAGGTTCTGGAGCTGATGAGAGGTTGAAAGGTGGTTTGAATCTGAAGTCAGGGAGTAATATGTTGCTTTGAGTCTTGATTGCCATGGTAAATGGGTACTCTGTAAAATTGAAAGCGTGACAAAAGTGAAATATTCAGGTTCTGCTGTTAAAAAGATAATAATCTGGTTGTGGAAGAGGGATTGGTTCATGTCAGAGGGGAGACTGTGCCAGCAGTGGAGAAAATGAAATGGAAAGAGCCTGAACATAAACAATTATTCGGGGAAAGGGGAACTAAACAATGAGAGGATAGGCTTCAAATATAATCTGGAAGTTATAGGATGGCATCAGAGAAAGTCACTCGTTTTATATAACTAATGTAAACTAGTAACAATTATGCCAACGCCTTGAGGTGGTGGGGGTGGGTACAGTGGGAAAGCAAAGGTAAAGTTCTCTTTTCTTTGCGTTGAACTAAAATGAATAACCATGTAGCCACTAGAAGATACTAGAGAGGTGGACTCAAGCATCAGTTTAATTGTAAAACAAATCAAAGCTAGAAAGTAGATTATCCTGTGAAAACATTCATTTACAGCACTGAGAAGGGCTTCCCAAATCAAGTCCAGCCTTTTGGTTTTTGCAAGCATATGTATTTTATATAATCCTGCTAACACTATTACAAAACTGTTAAAACCAAGTGTTAGGACTTTGTGAAAGGCCATTTTTACAGCCTTGCAACTCTATAGTTGCAATCTAATCTTCAACCTAAACTTTAAGGAAGACATCAACAAGGAAGTGGTAGCTGCATTTGTGGTTTGTGAAAAGATACTATCAAGTTGCTAGAAATAAACTGAAGGGAGTCAGAGTGTGAAGAAAATTGGAAGGCAGTGCTTTCAACTGTCAGGCTGAAGAAGCTGCAGGAAAGGGGGGAAATTACAAATGTGATGAAAAAGTTGAACTTCACTGAGTTTGAAGGTTAATGGGCTGAAGACAAAGAAATGCATTGATTCTAAAATTTGACCAGATAAATGTCATTAATTTGGACATGTCTTAGTGGTGTATAATCAGTACTAGCTAGCCTAAGTCAAATTACTTGATCTGAGCTGTAGAATGAGTGGTTATATTGATGGCTGTCACAGTTAAATTGCCATGTAATAAGGTGCTGTATCACAACAGCTCTTTTGTGTATGTCTTGACTGTAAAACATGCCTGGGCTGAAAGGGTTCCGAGGGTACAAAAGATAGAAAGTGCCAATGGGAGGCAAGGGGAGAGAGGCACCCAAAACAGAAGTGGAGGGAAGATGTGCAAACTCTTAAGCTGTACTGTGGGAGTAAAATAAACTGTTTAGATCCTAATTTGTTCCTGCCTATATCATAAGGAGACTTGATAGCTTTCTGAAGTTACTCCAGGAGTACTTGCTGACAAATTAAGTCTGTAACTTTCTGTAGTCTTTGCATTAGCAAATGCAAATATTGTAGTAGGTTTCAAATGAGATAGGGATAAAATTGGAGAGCTCAGAGAAGACTCAGTGCTTTCAATAAAAATCTTAGAACAGAAGCTTAATCTGTATAAAAAAGCCAAATTTTTGTGTCCAGATTTTTTTTTTTTTCCCCATTCTGTGACATTTCTGACCCTCTGCAAATATTAATATTTGCAGAAGGAGCATCTTCTTTTGTTCTGTGCCAACACATCTTCAGTCCATTCAGAGTGCCCTGGTCAGAAGCGAGGAAGAAACAAAAAGCAGTGGCAATTTGGTTCCTTGAGCTCTAACTAAAATGATAGTAGTAACAGCAAATGACACCTCAAAATTGTGGATTAAGCTCACTGTGTTGCAGGTGGGGGAGAGTGCTGTGACTAGAAAGCAAAAAAGAATTAAGAGCTCAATTTTAAATAATCAGACAAACTTATCTGGTGGGGTTCTTCGTTTGCTTAACTCAGTGTAGCTTATATCCACCAGTATTTAAGAATCTCAGTGTGGTATTTCATTTGACTCGCTTGTTGTTTAAAAGAGCCTTTTTTTTTTCTTTAATTGAAAAGTCATGTATTAAATCTGTCATAGGTGTTTTAAGTTGTCTTGTTTGTTGTTGTCGTTTTTGGTGGGGATTTGCTATCCTCCCTTGTGTGTGTTTGTACATTGTCTTCATTGCAGCAGTGTGGGCAAATAGCTCCTTGGATCCGTTACTTGGATAGCTAATTAGCCCATGGCCTGCAAAAAGTTCTGCGAGGCTTCTGTGGTGCACTGAGCGTGGAATAAACGACTCATCTGGGATGTCAATTAGCACAGGACATTCCTTGAATTAGTTGTGACGTGTGCACTTCAGTTCTTAGCTGTTGTGCTATCAGTCCTATTAAAATCATTAATTTTTAAGAGGGGCTCAGTTGCACTGTAGCTACTGATTAGTGTAACGCTTCTCTGTATACTGTGAACGTAAGTGTTGTACCTTCATATTTAGTGTTTGATTTCTAAAGCTATCATGATTGTTCACAAGTTTCTTTCTTCTATTCTGTTTGATTTCCTTCGTCCGTTTTTCTCCAGGAGGTAGACCAGGTTGATCAGGTAGGATATATTGCTGGGAACTGATCCTAGCTATGTTGGCTTAGCTCAGTTTCTCATGCTGCTTCCATATCAAAATACAATACTCAAACAGCTGGACTTGAACAGTTCATAACACTCATTCAGCAACTGGAACATGCAGTACTAAAATCCTTTTTTGACTTTGCAACTTTTACGGCATTCCATAATTTCTGCTTAACGCACTTCAATGTGGATATGAAATGACCAAAGTTCTTTTTCTTCCCTTTATTTTCTTTTTTTTGTTGTTTGTGGTTCCTATTCTTTGGATTTCATCTGAGGTTGCCTGGCCTGGCATTTGTGGTCGGGAGATGGTGAGATAGATCAGTACTTGATACTGCATCATCTGGTGTCCAAGCCAGTGAGCGCAGTATCGGAGTGGCAGCGGGCAGTAGTGAACATGCGCTTAACAGTGCACAGACTACCAGATACTGCATCCTGCTAAGCTCTTAGCACTGTGTCACTAGATGCTTCTGTCGTGGCTTTGTTGATATGGCTATTGGCAATTTAACAGAATTTTGTGTGTTCAGTGAACGTGTTAAAATTGAACGTAACCAGTTGCAGCCATTGCAATATTATGTACAAAAATTTTGCAAATATCTGGTATCTGAGATACGTTTGGTGAAATGGGAAAAGGTACTGGTCTATCTTTTTGGAGCCTCTTTAAGCTGCTGCACTTTGTCAGAAAACTATTTCCCTGTATTATTTCTTGCTTCTTTCTGCTTACAGAAACAGAAGAATATTGCCGGGGCACTTGCCTTTTGGATGGCAAACGCATCTGAGTTACTGAATTTCATAAAGCAAGACAGAGATCTTAGCCGAATTACTGTGGATGCACAAGATGTTCTGGCACACTTGGTTCAAATGGCATTCAAGTAAGGCTATCCAACTTCTGTTTTGCTTAACATATTCTGAACTTCTGTGGTTTTTAGAATAACTTGTAGATTAACATTTTTGCCTAATTTTAGATATATCGATATTGTCCTATGTATATTGTTAAATTTCTGAGAGGAGGACTTACAGGAGAGACTAGGTGGACTTCTTCAGACAGATACTGTGTTTTATGCATGTGGATCACTGGGCTGTGAAGGAGTTTAATCTGTTAGCCGTTCTTGCGGTAACTGGGGCTGCCAATGAAAATTTGAGTTAAATGATATTTAAATTTAGTTTGTGTTGATTTGCTTTCTCTTAATCTCAGGTTTTTATGGAGATGTGAGGAAAGGTTATTTTTGCTGTTAATATATAAAAATACATAGTCTTAAATATTTATGGGTCTCTAAAGTAATGAACCTTGTGCTCTTTAAGGGCTTCTAATTATAATCTACTTTCATAATTTACATAAACAGCAATTTGCACATTAGTGTTTTGTACTTTTTTTTTTTTTCCTTAAAAATGTAAAATCAGGTTTTTTGCTTGGGATATAATCAGACTATGTTAGTCAGCTCAGGCAGTTACAATACTGATTAAAAGAAAAATTAAGTATTCAATGGGAAAGGAAGTCCTCTGAGGAAAGGGTCCTTGAAAAAAGGTAACAGTGAGTGAGAACAGTGCTAATCAACAAAAACAAGCTTAATTTTTGTTCATATTTAGATTTTATTTTCCCCTCCCCAAGCCATTATTGAACAAGTATTTTCCAGCAAATCTTTATCTCTGAAACTAATATTTAGAGAAAGTCCCAGTGCACCTTGGGTGACTTATTCCCAGCCTTCTGCTACATGTAGGACGTCTATTATAAATACAGCCTTTTCAGACACAGAAGTAACACAGAATATAATATTTTTATACCATGACAGGTTTGGGAAACCTAACCACAGTTTAACTTTTTAGCTTTAAGGGAGGCTGTATTGCTCTGAAGAGCAGTATGTAGTATGTGATACCTTACCATTGCTTTTTGAGCTTTTCCTTCAATTTTTATAGCAGCTCTAAATTGCTAACTGTTAGTGAAGCTAGGCCTTTCTGCCACAGGTCAATGTTTGGAATTGTTGTCTTCAAACAACTCTTGGCTCCTTCAGTTTGCTAGATGGTCATTGAGGGCAGAATATTGCTGTGGCTAGGAAGGAATGACCCTGTATTTTTCCCTGTATTTGATGAGCAGGCTGGATGCAAAAGGATACTGAATATTAGCTGTGTGTGAGTTTTACCTCAAGTACATCGTAAAATGGCAGATTCCAAATGGATGTATTTTGGAGAACTATGGGATATATATTTAGAAGGCAAATAAAGACAACAGAAGCATGAAAAGAAAGAAATCTGCTGTGAAAATGTGATATGATGGTAACAACCAGTATACACCAGAGCTGGTTGAAAGGGCCATCCATGGCGTTTGTTTTCTAGCAATTGTGATGGTATTTAGTTAAAAATATTACCAGTGAAACAGAAAGGTGGAGTTGTAGAAAGCCATGAAATATTTTCCTTTTTATATGTAATTACAGTTTGTTTCCTTTTTAGTTTCAGTGCTTAACATAAAATATATAAATTAATTATTAAAAGCATTGTTAAGCCAAATATCTCATTATTAGAAGAGAAAGAATAATAAAACAGACTTTTAATTTCACAGTATTTAAGAGGAATGCAAAAATCAAAACATTGTTTACACAAGACACTGGGGCCGTTTCAGGATCTCGAATATTGGCTCAGAATATAAAAATTGTTATATTTTGTAAATGCTACTTGAAGTCTACTCTGGATAGACTTTAAAACAGAAAAAAAAAGTGTATTTCTATTTGGAAAAAGTAGTTTTTACAATCTCACAGAACCAAGGTTTGGCCTGACAGCACCCCTTTATGTAGCATTTGAGCTTTGCTTACAAGTGTGGTAGCAATACTGCATTTAAGTGGCTGTGCTTGTTCCCTGTTTGTTCCTTAATTTTTTCCAACCTTTCTAGAAAAGGTAGGAATTGGTTTCTCTGGCCTTCTAAAAAATCATTTCGTTCCCCATAGTCACCTACCTCACACTGTGATTTCAAGAATCTTGTAATTTGATGAATTTCTTTTCTTTAGAAGCATTCATTAATGAATACATATAGGATTTTAAATTATCTATCTTTCCTTCCCCCACCCTCATTTTCAGGTACCTGGTTCATTGTCTGCAATCAGAGCTTAATAACTACATGCCAGCATTCCTTGATGATCCAGAGGAAAATAATCCTCAGAGGCCTAAAATAGGTGGGATTACTTGATCTTTTTTTTGTATCTTCTAAGCCATAAATAAATCAGTAATAATTAGAATTTTTCTTAATGATGATTATAACATTTACAAGTTGCCCTAACTCCTGAGAATTGTTTGGATCAATTTTGCAATGATCTCTGTTACGTTAAAAATCGTGGCTCAATTTAGTTTGGAGCAGGATATCTGGATGTCATCTAATCCAGTGTCTTGCTCAAGGCAGGTGCAACTGGATAGGTTGCTCAGAGAACTGCCCAGCTGAGTGCTGAATCTATTCTGAGGGATGGAGATGTGACAAGGTCTCTGAGCAATCTGTTCCACCGTTTGACCACTGTCATGGTGAAAATGCTTTTCCTATATCCAGTTGGAATTTCACATGCTGCAGTTTTTGTGTTGGTTTGCCTGTTGTTCTGTGCTATTGCTGTGCACCCTTGAGAGGGATCTTGTCCTGAACACTCCCATTATGTAGATGATGATGGCAATAAGCTGTGCCCTTAGCCTTCTCTTTCCCCAGAGTGAACCAAATGCACTGCTCTCTCCCTCTTTTATGTCCTTTTTCTCCAGCCCCCGGATCATCTTGGTGGCTCTCTGCTGAATTTGCTCCATTAGGTGATCAGTATCCTCCTTGTGCTGAGGAGTCCAACACAGATGCAGTCTCACAAGTGCTGAATGCATAGGCAGGATTGCTCCCGTGCCTTCTGCTAGCTGCACTGCTGTCAACTTAACAGCTTAGTGTACACCTGGCTACCTGTCAAGCAAGGACATGCTGCTTAATTGCATTCAACTTGATGTCTCTACATCATTTTCGGCAGAGCTGCTTTCTGTCCAGATGGCACCTTGCCTATGCTGTTGCATAGACTTACTTCTTGCCTGATGCAGGATTTGGCAGTTGCCTTTGAACTCCATGAAGTTCCTGTTAGCCAATTTCTCCAGCCTACTGAGGCCCTTCTGAAAAATACTGCTGCCCTTCAGTGCATCAGTGTTTGCCCCCAGCTTGGTAGGATCTGTGAATTTGCTGAGAATGCACTCCATCCAATCGCTTAGGTCATGAGTAAAGTCATTAAACAGTATCAACTCCAGCCTCAGTCCATGAGGGAAGCCACAGATAGCTGACTGCCAGCTCGATTTTCTTCCACAAATCCACCAAGCCCAGTGGTCCAGCCAGCCAGTTCTCTACCTGCAGTATCATCTGCTTATTCATTCCATATCTCAGGAGTTTCACTCTAAATGAAATTATCGGAGAATCTGACAGAGGGACCTCCCAGGTACTAGA